AACCTCGACTTGTCTCCTGGCCACATCTCTTATCCTGACAGCTACCTGCACTTGCCCTTGGTGGGACTCCTGTACCATCTCCATACTACAGCATCCAAGACCCATCTCATGGATGCCCCTGTGCACCACTGCAGGCCTACAGACTGCCAATCGTGGTCCTTCCTGGTGTGTCTCCAACACTGTTAACTACAGTCCTGACACTGCTCCTACCTGCTACCTTGTCCACTTGCACCCAAGTTTTTTTTTGTGCACTGTACTGCTGTCTCCATATTCAATGGTGCGCGAACAAAAGCAGCATAGTGGAGCTCTCTCATCAATTCAACCTCAAACCAAGGTATGTGATGGAATCATCTACCCATGTCTGAGGATGAAAGAGGTGCTTCACCGTTAGATACTTTGTGCCTACAAATTGCAGCCCTTACTAAACTTGTAAAGATACTGTAGGATGGTTACTTTCAACTAGAGGGTCTAATAACCTGGCCTGTCAGAAAGTTCACCCACACCAGCTCCTACCTCTGGAAACTCTGAACCAGTACTTTCTACTGTGGTGATACCATTACCATAACCACAGGTGTTAACCCCTTTATGATTTTTTGGAAGAAATTCAGGCATTCAAAAACACATCAGTTGTACTTTGCCCTGCTATCTCCAACTGTTTCACTTGAGTCAGTGAAAGTGGCTGCATCATATCCCTGCTGATCGATGAACACCAGTCCTGGGCACATTACCTCTTGAAGCAATGCAGCCATATCTTTAACTCAGTAACTTAATTTTTAAAGTCAAGGGCACAACTATACAATAAACCTCTACACACAGCTTCCACAGAAGCCACTCTGCATGTTCAACAGGGTCGGCACCCAGTGGAAGAATATACCAGTGAATTTTGCACATGGATAGCAGACAAACTGGAACCATGGTACTTTGAAATACTACTACCGTTTGGGCTGATCAGAGACTCTCAAAGATGAGCTTACCTGGGGCACCTGACTTTCTGGAGAATCTGGTGCAACTTTCTATCCAATTGGATTGTTGACTTTGGAAAGGAGTAGTTCCTTCAGATGGATGATGCCCAAGGTTCACCATACTATATCTACTAACCTACTAGTCCAGCCAGCACCTGCTTCTGAAGTCAGTCTTCTTCATCCTGCTCTGTCACATGAGGAGAAACTACACTGGCGCCAAGCCAATTTGTAAAGAAAACAAACAGAGGGCACACCGGCCTAGTGCATTATCTTAATAACATTTATTGATAAAAGTAGTAGCTGGTGATATACTCACAAAAGACAATTGTATAAAAGCTCATCATAAAGAACAGCAATGTCTGGTTTGCCTGATACAGTTTTCTACACAGGAACACTGGACCTCCAATAGGCTAACATGTTTTGAGGACTTGCCGTTTCCTCACAGCCAAGCCAATTTGTCACGTACCTTACTTGTAAGCCTGATAGCAGGAGAAAGGCCTCCCCGTACAGTTCGAGGGCCACTGAAGGTGGAACAGCAACCACAAGAGCACGGCGGGGTATGAGTGCCTGTTCAGTCTTGTAGTCTGTGCAGGAATTGCTGGAACTTCGCTGGGAGATGGGATGGCTGGACCGGCTGGTGGCAGAGCAGGCTGGCAGCAGAGCAGGCAGGCAGGCAGGCAATGAAGCAGGCAGGTAGCAGACTGTATGCAGGGTCAGACAAGCCAGGTCGGTAACAGATAAGCGGATCAGACATGAACAATAAACAGAAGAATGGTCGGGTCACAAGCCAGGGTCAGTGTTGGTGGGAGCAGATCAGGCAGAGTCAGAAGGCAGAGGCAGAGTCCAAGAAACAAGCTGGGATCAATCACAGGTAATCACTCACAGGAACAGGAATATAGGAGGGGGAGCTGCAGATCAGACAGCACAGGCAATAGTGCTGCTTGGTTTAAATAGTCTGACTGGCACCAACATTAGCAACGGGCTGTCGCATGTGTGCGTGTGCGCACATGCGAACGCAAATGCACACGACTATGTGCAGCAGAACGGGCCCTCGCACATCTGCGCCTGCTCTATGGCGAGCATCTTCCTGATACAATTTGTGCCTGTACTGCGGGAAGCCCAGTCATTTACGTGTCAACTGTCCCATTCATCCATATAAATCTCTCTCCAGACGTTCTGCTTATCTTCAGGTCTCAGGAACACAATCAATCTTCCAATTTTGTTGCAGGTGGCTGGAAGGAAAAACAAGTTACAGACCACAAATGATTCAGGGGCTCATAGCTACTTAATTGATGTCACTCTTACAAGATACTTACAGATTCCTATCAAGGGGCGGACTGACCATTTGGAAACTCGCGCAAGGCCAGAGGGCCCGGGGTCAGTAGGGGGCCCCATGAGATGCCCCTGGTACCTTTTTCATAGGCTTTTTTGAGTTTGGGCAAGGACACAGGGGCCCCATGATCCCCTATTGCCTGGGGGCCCCATGAGTTGTCAGTCTGCCCCTGTTCCTATCTTGACCACAACCAGTTCCAGACACCAAAAACTTTTACACTTTGATGTCTTGAATTCCCTAATGTTTCCAATAATAAGAACACCATGGTCACAAGCACATAACCTTCTGATGGATTGGTGTAAAGGAACTGTGAGTTTTTAGTCAGCCTACTGTCAGCAACATTGCCTCCTTTCAAGCCCCACCAACCCAACCTTATTATTATTATACAGGATTTATATAGCACCAACAGTTTATGCAGCACTTTACAATATAAGGAGGACAGTACAATTACAATACTGTTAGATAGAGAAGTAATTGGAGGGCCCTGCTCATGGAGCTTACAATCTAAAGGGAGGGGGAGGTGGTACAAAAGGTAATAGCTGCAGGGGATGATCTGATGGAGTTGACTCAAGTACAGTTCTTAGGTGGAGGTTCTTAAATGAGTTTTCAAGGATCGTCTAAAGGCAGACAAGGTGGGAGCTAACCGGACATACTGGGAGTTCCAGAAGATTGGAGAGGCTCTGGAGAAGTGGCGAGTGTGGTAGAAGGTAACAAGGGAACTGGAGAGCAGGTGGTCTAGGGAGGAGCGGAGAGAATGGTTTGGGCGATATCTGCAGTTGAGGTAGGTGATGTAGCTGGGGGTGAGTGGATGGCCTTGTATGTTGTGGTTAGCATTTTGAATTTTATACAATATTCTAGTGGAACCCAGTGAAAAGACTGGCAGAGAGGGGCAGCAGTCATGGATCAGTTAGTAAGGTGTATTAGTCTAGTAGCGGCATTCATAATAGACTGAGTGGGGGATACCCTGTGTAGGGATAGGCCAGTGAGGAGGGAGTTGCAGTAGTCAAGGTGGGAAATAACCAAGAAGTGAATAAGCTGTTTTGCGGTGTCATTAGTTAGGAAGGGGTGAATTCTGGAAATGTTGCAGAGGTTGAGGCAGCAAGATTGAGACAGTGATTGAATGTGTTTGGTTGGTGGGAAAGCTGGATGCTGGCTATCACGAATTGTGTCGATTTTGTTTTTGAAATGATTGGTAATCTTCTGGGTGGTAAGTAGGTTGGTGGCTGAAGACAGTGGTGGGCGAAGTAAGGAATGAAGTGTAGAAAAGAATTGATGAGGTTTGGATGAGAAGGGTTTTGATGAAAATGGTGTAGTAGGTTTGTTTAGCAGTGTGGAGAAAGGAGTTGTATTTGAGAAGGGAAGATCTGTGGTGCGTGAAGTCTTGCAGGTATTTAGTTTTATGCCACGCTCTCTCAACAGTAAACCACATTCTAATTTCTGTCTACCTGTATCTGTGTTATTTCATAATTTCCTTGATGTTTTCGACAAGAAGACAAAGCAGACACCTTTTCACCCCATCGATCTTACGACTGTCCCATCGAATGGCTTCCAGGGCCAGAAATTCCATTTGGCTGCATCTTCCCTCTATCCAAACTGAAAATTGGAGGCCCTCCGGCATTACGTAGATGAACGATTTATCCGTCCTTCATTCTCAGCAGTAGGAGCTAGGATAATCTTTGTGGAAAAAAAAGAATCACTCCCTGTGCCTGTGCTGACTTTCGGGAGCTCAACAATATTACCATTAAGAATCATCATTTAGTTCCTGAACTTTTACAAAGGTTTTGAACTGCCTTGATATTCACCAAACTAGGCTTTCATGGTGCCTATAATTTGTTGTGCATCAGAGAGGGGGTTAAGTGGAAAATGGAATTTTGGACTGGCTTTGGTCATTTTTGAGTACCTGGTGATGCCTTTTGGTCTGTGCAATGCCCCCATAATATTCACATTTCGTAAATGAGACCTTCTAAGAATACAGGTGCTGCATTGTCACAACGTCAAGGCCGAAACGCCATACTGCATCCTGTGGCTTTTTTCTTCCAAAAGTTGAACCAGTCCAAAAAAAATTATGTGGGTGATAGGGAGCTACTGGCATGCTCATGGTCTACAAGAACCTTGAGTACCTTAGGCCCATTAAACATCTGAGGCTTCATCACGCCAGAAGGCCTTTGTTTTTTCAAGATTCTAATTCAATATTGCTTATCGCCCATGGTGCAAGAATGGAAATGCAGATACTTTATCCTGCATGTTCCCAGATACCCCTGAATCGTCTTCTTCGGACACAATTCTGGCATATCAGAATTTCTTGCTGATACAGCCTGATCTGATGTCATCTATCCAAATCCTCAATGAACCTGAGAACATCAGTTGTCAGAAAAGAGAGTAGATTTGGTGGTACAATAAAAAGATCTTTATCCTCCAGGAACTTCAGCCACAAATGGTCAAAATTTTTCATGACCGTTCATTATTAGGTCACTTCGGAACCTGTAAGACATTGAAATTGATTCAGTGTTACTTCTAGTGGCCAAATCATATTAGGACAAAAGAGGGAGGGGAGAGCTGGTTTTAATGGCAGAGATAAGAACTGGTTATCCACAGCTAGTCTGGTGTCCTCCCACTGACACCAATGATGGTGCCCCATCATTAGTGTCAGTGTGTAAGGAATAGCGCCCCATTATTGGTATCAGTGGGAGGAATAGTACCCTATCATTGGTGTCAGTGGGAGGAATCGTGCCCCATCATTGGTGTCAGTGGGAGGAATCGTGCCCCATCATTGGTGTCAGTGGGAGGAATTGTGCCCCATCATTGGTGTCAGTGAGAGGAATCGTGCCCCATCATTGGTGTCAGGGAGAGAAATAATGCCCCATCATTGGTGTCAGTGGGAAGAATAGTGCCCCATCATTGGTATCAGTGGGAGGAATAGTGCCCTATCACTGGTATCAGTGGAAGTGCCCCATTATTAGTGTCAGGGGGAGGAATAGTGCCCCATCATTGGTGTCAGTGGGAGGAATAGTGTCCCATCATTGGTATCAGTGGAAGGAATAGTGCCCCATCATTGGTATCAGTGGGAAGAATAGTGCCCCATTATTGGTATCAGTGGGAGGAAGTGCCCCATCATTAGTGTCAGTAGGAGGAATAGTGCCCCATCATTGGTGTCAGTGGGAGGAATAGTGCCCCATCTTTGGTGTCAGTGGGAGGAATAGTCCCCATCATTGGTATCAGTGGGAGGAATAGTGTCCCATCATTGGTGTATCAAGGCAGCGGGACAGGAGGAGTGCAAAGGGACAGGTGAGGGGCAGTGGGACAGGAGGAGCACAGAGGGACAGGTGAGGGGCAGTGGGACAGGAGAAGCGTAGAGGGACAGGTTGGGGGCAGCTTGACGGGGGCATGGGACAGAATCGGGGCAAAGAAACAGGAGTAGCGCAGTGGGACAGAAGGAGCGCAGTGGGACAGGTGAGGAGCAGTGGGACAGGAGGAACGCAGTGGGACAGGTGAGGGGCAGTGGGACAGGAGAAGGAGCACAGAGCGACAGGAGGAGCATAGAAGGATAGGTGAGGGGCAGTGGGACAGGAGGAGTGCAGAGGGATAGGTGAGGGGCAATGGGACAGGAGGAGCACAGAGGGACAGGTGGGGGGCCGCATGACAGGGGGCATGGGACAGGATCGGGGCAGTTTGACAGGAGGAGCGCAAAGGGACAGGATCGAGGCAGTGGGACAGGAGGAGCGCAAAGGGACAGGTGAGGGGCAGTGGGACAGGAGGAGCGCAGAGGGACAGGGGGCAACGTGACGGGGGGCATGGGACAGCATCGGGGCAGCGGGACAAAAGAAGAGCAGTGGGACAGGAGAAGCGTAGAAGGATAGGTGAGGGGCAGCGGGACAGGAGGAGCGCAAAGGGACAGGTGAGGGGCAGTGTGACAGGAGGAGCACAGAGAGACAGGTGAGGGGCAGTGGGACAGGAGGAGTGCAGTGGGACAGGAGAAGCGTAGAAGGATAGGTAAGGGGCAGCAGGACAGGAGGAGCACAAAGGGACAGGTGAGGGGCAGTGTGACAGGAGGAGCACAGAGAGACAGGTGAGGGGCAGTGGGACAGGAGGAGCGTAGAGGGACAGGTGGGGGGCAGCATGACGGGGGGCATGGGACAGGATCGGGGGGCATGGCACAGGATTGGGGCAGTGGGACAGGAGAAGCACTGCGGGACAGGTGAGGGGCAGTGGGACAGGAGTAGCGCAGTGGGACAGGAGTAGAGCAGTGGGACAGGAGTAGAGCAGTGGGATAGGTGAGGGGCAGTGGGACAGGAGGAGCGCAGAGGGATAGGTGGGGGGCAGCGTGACAGGGGACATGGGACAGGATCAGGGCAGCTGGACAGGAGGAGTGCAGAGAGACAGGTGAGGGGCAGCTGGACAGGAGGAATGCAGAGGGACAGGTAAGGGGCAGCTGGACAGGAGGAGCGCAGAGGGACAGGTGGGGGGCAGTGGGGACAGATGGGGAGTAGTGGGACAATGTGGGGGATAGGAGAGGGGAAGTGGAACAGGTGGGGGCAGTGTATTGAGGGACAGTGAGACAGGAGTGGGGAAGAACCAGTCCTCCAAGCACTTACCTGTCTAGCAGCGGCTCCTCCTGATGGTGTCAGCATCTCTCCAGGACGGCTGTGTCAAGGTCCTAACTTTCCTCAGAGATTGTGTTGCTCCATGTGCTGGCATCCATCTTAAGTTCCTGCAAAGCATGGTGGGAGCCTTTATGCTTTCAGGCCTCTGCTGCTCCTCCTCCAGAAAGGTGTGGCTGATCACATTTAAGCCTGCTGTCTGCAGTTGCTCTTTGCATTCGTGTCCTGTATGTTCCTTTGCAGCAAGCTCTTGTTCTGTTCTCATTGGAAGTTTATCAGGAACTTCTCTACGCTGGCCAAGCCTCTCTCAGATCTGACCAAGAAGGGTAGTAATCCTCACGAGTGGTCACCCGAGGCCATCTTAGCTTTCAAAGCTCTGAAATCTGCCTTCGCTTCGGCTCCGATATTGTCTCATCCCAATCCTGGGTTGCCTTTTGTCCTTGAGGTTGATGCATCTGTGACGGGATGTCTCAGCATCGGTCACCCGATGGACCCCTACTTCCTTGTGGGTTTTACTCCAGGAAGCTTTCCTCCACAGAATGCAACTACCAGATTGGACACAGGGAGTTGCTGGCCATTATTCAGGCTCTCAAAGAATGGAGGCACCTGCTCGAGGGTGCTGTGGTTCCGGTTCTCATTTTCACACCACAAGAACTTTACGTACCTCTTGGAGGCTAAGAGGTTGACGCCCCATCAGGCGAGATGGGGTCTGTTTTGTGTTCTTGTCACGTTTCAACTATGTGGTCTATTTGCCTGGCCCCAAGAATGTCAGGGCTGATGCCTTGTCACGGCAATACTCTGAGCTATCCAGGGAGGACTCTAAGCCGACCTCGGTCATACCTCCGGACCAGATCCTGGCTGCCATTCGTACCAACCTGACTTCTCCCCTTGGGGAGCAGATTTTGGCGGCTCAAACTGATGCTCCTCCTGAGAGACCGGCTGGAAGATGTTTTGTACCTGAGGGATTGCGCACCCGCTTGCTACGTGCCTACCATAATTCCAAGAATGCCGGCCATCCAGGTAGGAACCAGTTGTCCTGGGTCGTCTCTCGGTCATTCTGGTGGCCATCTCTCCATTCCAACATCGCCTCATACGTAGCGGCATGTTCGGTCTGTGCCCAGAATAAATCTCCTCGGCATCTTCCATTGGGTCTTCTGCAACCCATTCCCAATGGGGAGCGTCCCTGGTCACACCTAGGCATGGATTTTATTGTGACCTCCCGGCGTCTCAAGGCCATACGGTCATTCTTATGGTGATTGATCATTTTTCCAAGATGTGCCATTGCGTTCCGTTCAAGAAATTGCAGACTGCGTGAGAACTGGCTACGGTTTTCGCCAGGGAGATCTTTCGCTTGCATGGTTTGCCCAAGGTGATTGTCTCAGACCGTGGGACCCAGTTTGTGTCTAGGTTCTGGCACGCCTTCTGCTCCCAGTTGGGAGTCAAGCTCTCCTTCTCTTCGGCCTACCACCCGCAGTCCAATGGGGCTGTGGAGCGTTCCAATCAGGCCCTGGAAAAATTTCTTCGCTGCTACATATCTGACCATCAAGACAATTGGGTCGATCTCCTGCCATGGGCAGAGTTTGCAAGGAACTTGGCTGTCAACTCCTCCTCTGGGATGTCCCCCTTCATGGCCAACTATGGGTTCCAACCCGCTGTATTGCCTGAGTTGTTCTCGCCACAGGACATTCCGGCTGTGGATAACCATCTAGCTGCCCTGCGTTCCTCGTGGGGGCAGATCCAGAGGTCCTTGAAGGACTCAGCACAGCGCCAGAAGCTCCAGGCTGATTGCAGACGGTTGCCAGCTCCTTCATACCAGGTCGGAGATTGGAAGTGGTTGTCCACTCACAACCTCAATCTTCGGGTGCCCGCACCGAAACTGGCTCCCTGTTTTTTGTTGGTCCTTTCCGCATCCTCCGCAGGGTGAACCTGGTTGCCTATGCCCTTGCTCTTCCTCCTGGGATGCGTATCTCCAATGTCTTCCACGTATCCCTGTTGAAGCCTCTGGTCTGTAATCGCTTTACTGCCTCTCCGGCTCTTCCTCGTCCTATCTGGGTTGACGGTCATGAGGAGTATGAGGTGAACCGCATCCTGGACTCTCGGTTGGTCCGCGGTCAGGTGCAGTTCCTGGTCCATTGGCGCGGTTATGGCCCTGAGGAGCGTTCCTGGGTTCCTTTCGCGGATGTTCATGCTCCTGCCCTCCTCCACGGCAGAGTTTGCTCCACGCTTTTCTCCTCCGCCCGATTTCCGCAGAAGCCTTTTGTGGAGCCGCGGAGGGGTCCTTGAGGAGGAGGTACTGTCAAGGTCCTACCTTTCCTCAGAGAAAAGGTTGCTTCATGTGCTGGCATCCATCTTAAGCATGGTGGGAGCCTTTATGCTTTCAGGCCTCTGCGGCCCCTCCTCCAGAAGGGTGTGGCTGAACACATTTAAGCCTGCTGTCTGCAGTTGCTCTTTGCATTCATGTCTTGTATGTTCCTTTGCAGCAAGCTCTTGTTCTGTTCTCATTGCTCTCCTGGTAACCGACTCTGCTTGGACAAGACTATTCTCTGCTTTATCCCATTACCTGACCTCCCGTTGCTGAACCCGGCCCCTGACCTGAGTATTCTCTTCTACCGTCTTGTACTGTTTGCTCCGTTGTTATCGACCCAGCCTGTCCGACCACACTATACGTTTTCCATCTGGCCCCCACCAGCTCTACACCATTGGTGGCAGTCGTTACCGCAGCTGGGGTTACTCGGGGGCCGCGACCTGGTCACAGCCTGCGTCAAGTCCATCCCCACCATCAGGAGCCCTGGTGAAGGGAAGCCTGGGGCATAGACTCTGCGCCCTGAGGGACTCTGGTCTGTGAGTAGCGGCTGTCGTCAGTCGCTGCGTGACCTTACCATTAGGCCTGCCTGCCCATTCCACCGCTCCTGCCCTGACAGGTTGCCTGTGTCCCTTCTCCCCCAGGATCTCCGGTTGCAAAAGAGCGGGCAGGCTCCTCCACCCTGACCTCATCTTCTTCTGCTTCCTCCTTTGCTGGCACCTTCCTGCACATCCCGGCACACTGACAGCGGGCCCCGCCCCTAACGTGCTCCAAACGCTCACCGCTGATCCGCCCACCACTCCACTCTCCTCTGCAGCCGGCCCCTTGGCCCGGGTGACCCTCCTTGCTGTACCCTCAGCCATGGTGGCCCTGCCCCTGTCCCTTTCCCATGGAAGTCTTGCTTCTGTGGGAAAGGGGGGGGGGCGGCGCTACTGCCGTGCCGCCCCCCTGAAAAGTGCCGCCCTAGGCAAATGCCTTGTATGTGTACATGTGTCTGTGTGTGTGTCTGTATGTGTCTGTGTGTGTGTGTACATGTGTCTGTGTGTGTGTGTGTACATGTGTCTGTGTGTGTGTGTACATGTGTGTGTGTACATGTGTCTGTATGTGTGTGTTTGTGTGTACATATGTCTGTATGTGTGTATGTACATGTGTTTGTATGTATATGTGTTTGTATGGGTGTGGGTACATGCATTTGTATGTGTGTGTTTAATGCTCTGATCTCTTTTCAGAGGCATTTGACAGGTGGTAAAGAGGCAATATGCTGTTTT